GTTGCGCTCTCACATAAGTTCAAGACTCATAGTGCTAATTCAGTCCATGCTTTACACCTCGCTGCGCACATGTGGAGAGAACATTTATGCTACACATGATTATACCATTCAAAAGTGTAGCTATTTATAAACTAGTCATAGCCTTGTCAATTTTCATATGTGGACAAGCTAAAATAGTTTTCCCTATAGCACAAACTCTTCCAATAGTGCCAATTTGAAGTTCAATTTCTCATTTATATGATTATCATTTTTGGCAAGTAAATATATGATTTCTATGTTCTCACAAAGAAATGAATTGACTTTGATCTTCTAGAATGAACAAATGAATCCCACTCAAAATTATGTCAAAATATCCCCATTTATAAGCCATTTTTCAACAATCCCCAAATAAATGAAAATTGAGAGAGACACGGAAATGTGAAACAAAAAGACTTGGTAATGAAGTTTAATGATTGAAATTTGTATAGGATACGTAGGCATTGCCTTTTAAACATTCCCTTGTAAAAGTATATTTACTTTACTAGTTAACCAGTAGATACAATGTCTTTGAACTGTTTTACCCTTCATGTAAATGATGATATACACTACACACGATTCTTTTGAACACAATCCAGTTCTTCTTTTTTTTTTTTTTTTTGTACCCATGAACATACGTCTGGTTCTAAGAGAGTTCTAAGAATTGAGCCCCACGTAATTCCCTTTAAAAGACCCAATTTCTCTCACACGTAGGCAATTTCTTACTTATAACTCGCATTACTCTACTCAATTTTCAAGATATTAGAATCATTAAAAGTCTATTGCTTATCATTTATCCTTATAGGCATTACTATTACATCATATAAATGGACATGAGTGATTCAATCAAATATTTACAATTAGATTGTCCATTTGAACCTAGATCTTGGAATCTCTAGTCAACTAGGTTTGATTTCCATTGTATTAAGTCATTGGCTCAAGGATTTAGTCCCATCCATCTCAATGACTTTCCGACTAACTTTCTATCCGACCCTTTGTTTAGCGAATCCGCATTATTATCCATCAACATCACTTATTCAATTATAACTCCAATTGGAAGTAGTTACCAGATGAGTGTATTTCACTCATCATATTAACTGCTTAATCTTGATATTTCGTTTGATTCTTGGAGTTTTAGAATGTTTTGATTTGTGTTTTCATGTTGCTTTATAGGTTAGGTAAATTAGTGTGAATTCTGTAAAACTTGGAAACAAGAGTGATATTGGCATGAATAAATGATAAGTTGATGTTGATTTGGTGAAACTTAATGATTGGAGGCTAAATTGAAAGAAACAAGTGAATAAAAATGAAAAATGGTGAAATCCAAAGTTCGAGGACCCAATTGTAACTTTTAATAGTTGATTCAGACCACCAAACGATAATTGAAGTTGCTAAGAGTCAATCGGATGCAATTAGAAGTAAAAAAAAAAGAGTGAAGTATGATCAAAATATTTTTCACAAATCAGTTTTCAACCGCACAAGTATGCTCTAGATTTTTAGCTGGAGATTGAAACCCATTTTGACATGGTAAATTTTCAGATTACAAATAAACTAATTCTAATACAGTTGTGGCCCTTTGAGTTATTTTTCTAACATATTTTGAATCGTCTCAATCAGATATCGAAAGAGAAAATATGATAAAAATACTAAAGGATGTGCAGTGCAAACGAAGCTGGGCGAGCACCTATGTGCTATCCCTCAGCAGGTAGGTGCCATATTTATGATTTTTTTCTCCGAAAGTGGGCGCTTAGGAGCCATGTCCAAGCGCCTAGCCACCAGCCTGACCTAGAATCGCGATGCTTAGGCACCCAACTCATCGTACTTCAAGAAGGCATACTACTTTTTAAGAAGAAAATAAAATAAAAACAAGATATCAAGAAAGAGATTGAAGGCAACAATGCGAAGAAGAATGATTCAACTCCAAAATTTTTTATTCTTCTCTATATGTTTTTGATTATGAATTTGATGGTTTCTCTTTTATCCAACATGAACTAATTCTTCTACCTAGGGTTTGATGTAATCTATACTTGAAACTATGTTTTGATAATTTTTAGTTATTTCTTTGAGGTTTTCCATTGAAGTTTATTTCTCTTATTTATTCTTGATACTTTCAATTAACTGGCCATCGATTGAATGATTTGATTATTTAAGTTTCTTCACTTGAGAGAGGAAACCTTAGATGTGATCATAGAATAACACAACCTAGGTTTATAAGTTTCGAGAGAAAGTACAAACACTTTGAAGTGATTCTACATAAGAAATATAAAACTTGATAATACTTAGATTTTTAATTCGGAATAGAGATATTGAAATTGAATTTTAGAAATAACTTTTACTCGACACTTGAGAGATGGAGTAGAATCACATTAGGGTTCTTGCTTATAAACTTTGAAAAATAAAATTGCAGATAGTTTGAAGGATTGAGAAACATTGTTGATAGTAAGATGAAATCAAAAACCTGGGCTCTTTTTATATTGATAAATCCTTTAAACTTGTATTAAAATCGTTGAGTTAGTCAAACATTCACGATAGATTTAGGTATAAACGTTGATCTTATAATTCAATTGTCTAGATAGAATAAGAGCTATTTCATTATAGTAATTATTAAATAATAAAATTTCAATCCATGTGGGTTCGACATTCTAACTTCATAGTTATATTACAAAACTTGATAACCGTGCACTTACGGTATAGAAAACACGTAACATTACCTTATGTATTATGTTAATATTGTATATGTCTAGACTTACTATTATACATGTTACTCTATGCTCTTCTAATCCCAGATTGATTGTCACAGTGTATGTAAATTGTTGGCACATGTTTTGACCATCGCAGAATATCCTCTAAGAATTTGTGTAACCACTTAGCCTCCTCACCTTATTTGTCCAATGCTATATACTTAGATTTCATAGTAGATCTGGCTATAACTGTTTGTTTAGAGGATTTCTATGATATAGCTGTACCTCCAAATATGAATACAAAATCACTTTTAGACTTTGAGTCTTTTATATTAGAGATAGATATCCAATTAGCATCACTATATCTTTCAATGATTATTAGATATCTAGTATAGTATAAACCATAGCTACGAGTATATCTTAAGTACTTCAGTACTTTTATTATTCCTTTCCATTGATGAGCACTTGGATTGCTTGTGTATTTACTTAGTTTACTAACTGTGTAAGCTATGTGTAGTCCTGTACAACTTATCATATACATTAGACTTTCAATATTTTTAGTACTCTACTTGAGACACTCATACCATTATTTTTAGATAAATGTTGGCTTGTATATATCGGTGTTCTAGCTATGTCAGAATTATCATTTTTAGATTTTTCATGAATTTTGTCCACATAATGCGACTCGCTTAAAATGAGTTCATTCGATGTTCTTTAAAATTTAAGTCCAAGTGTCACGTCAGCTAAACGCATCTTTCATGTGAAATCTTGAATTCAACAAACTTTTAGTTGGTTTAATCATCGGTACCAACTTTTATGCATGTTGTCAATGTAAAGATATAAAATGATAAAACCATTTTCAATGTCTTTGATGTAAATGTATTTTTTGTAGTCATTTATCTTAAATTCACAATCCATCGTGACATTATCAAACTTTTCATGTCACTATGTCTGTTTTGGTGTTTATTTCAAACTATACAATGACTTTACCAATCTGCAGACATTCTTTTCGTTCTCTGGTAATGAAGAACCCTTAGGTTGTTCCATGTAGATTTCTTTCTCTAAAATTCCATTAAATAATAAGTTTTAACATCATTTGATATACTTCAAGATTTTGCAAAGGTGCAATCACAAGTATCATCATAATGGATGTTACTCTTGTTACCCGAAAAAACATATCATAGTAATCAAGGCTTTTTTTGTTTGTAACCTTTCATCGCCAACCTAACCATATACATCTCGATTGTTCCGTTTGCTTTTATTTTCCTTCTTGTTCTCTTCCAGAAAGGTCCACTAGCCCTCATGTATGATTTTACAAAATCAAATTTATTTACTTTTTAACGACCTCTTTCCACTGTTGTTCTTCCGAAAAATTCATAGCTTCTTGGAAGTTTTGAAGTTTGTTTTCTACCATATAGGTCAAAGAACCAGGATCACTAGATTTTCTGTCATTTCTCTTTTGCTACATCTTGGTCCGACCTCGACTTCATCTTCTAGTCCTCCTTTCTCTTTTGCTACGTCTTGGTCCAACCTCAACTTCATCTTCTAGTCCTTGATTTTGACTATTTTTAACCATAGTCTCATGCCCCCATTTAGATGAGCTTGCTTCCTCTTTGGATATATATGAAAACACATATTCAATGAATGAAACAATTCTCGATTCCATTGCCCTTTTTTTGTGGATGTTTTGGATTTCAGACTCGTGCACAAAAAAATCAATAGGCACTACAATAATTATATGCATGGCCAATGAAGCTGCAATCTATAGTTTTTAGGCCTATCTTTCTCTTCTTTGGTGTTGGTATAACCACTTTAGCAAGACACCCTACATTCATAGGTATTTATATGAGGACTTCCTTCATTTCCACAATTCAGAGACTCTTTCTTTTCTCTTTAGGGCACCTTATTTAAAATGTAATTTTTCGATAGCACAACTTCCTCTCACATGTTCTGAGCATACTCAAAATTTAATAACATTTCAATCATATAGGTTATTGTGAATTAAATCAAGCGGTTCTATATTTCTTTCAATTGATTGAATTGAGAACCTTGTCAAATTTGTTTCAACACAAATTTCATACTTATGTTTAGAATCAATATGAAATATGATTATGTTATTCAAGTTAACTAATCTATAGAAAGTATTATAATTAACATGTCCTAATTAATCATGACACACATTGAAAGACTCAAGCAAGTAGAATAATTAACTTTATTCATTTTCGGCTTGAACATCTTGGACATGTTTACTTTAAGTAACTGAGAATCAATCATTATATATACATGTTCATGTACAATTTTTCATCATCGTTCAAAACTACAAGTTTCCCTTATCTGGTTTGTGACAGCAGCCATTGAAGGTCTCTTATTAGGATACTGAAATGTACAACACAAAGAAAGCTGTAACAGTTGTACCATTTTCTCTCCTATGCCAGAAGTGTTATAGTAGCCATGTAATGCATTATCAAACACATCAATGAGGGGCTTCTCTTGAAACATCGATCTCACCCAATTGGGTAGGTCAGTACCCTTTTCCTTGACATTCAGTGCATTTGTGGGAGCCTTGCCAGTAAGGAGTTCAAAGAGAAGGACACCAAAGCTGTAAACGTCGGACTTTTGAGAAATTTGGCGTGCATTTGTCACCTCGGGCGCACAATAACCAATTACGAGGTTTGGTATAGGTTTAGTGTCCGAGAAAAGTTGGGCGATGGCGTACTCGGAGAGATATGCATCGAAAGAACTGGTAAGAAAAATGTTGGATGATCGAACATTTCCATGGAAAACATATTGTGAATGGAGATATTGGATAGCACTGGCAACTCTATAGGCAATTCTACACCTTACTTCCCAAGTGAGAGGAGTCTTATGTGCACCTCCATTCCCTATATATATGTAGCATCGGAAGAGCATATATAACTAACTATATATACCTTCAAATCTGATACTTTAGACAGGAAAATAAAATGTAATTATGTGGACAATGATTTTTTTTGTTAGGGTACTCTAATTCTACAACATAAGCACTCCATATACCAAATCATAGGTAAATGAAAAAATCTAAGAAAGGCTCACCCAAGGATAATTTGGTAGGTATGATATTTAATGAAGAAAATAAAGACAAAAAATACATTAGCATGGAATCTTTTATTTTACAGCCTGAAGTCAAATACGTTGAACTCATTACCTGATATGATTCTTTTCATCTATCGAAATGTGAGAGCTAAATATAAAGAAATTTCTCAAGTCAGAGATGATATTGTCAGCTCTTTACATATTCAACTCATCTGAATGGTTTATAATTGTACTATTAAATTCAGGACCAAACAAGCTGACTTTGTAACTCTTCAAATGGAAAATTAACAAGAAATTCTCTCTCCACGTTAATGTTATTTATCAGGGATATATTTGGTACGTAATACTAGAGAAGATCGATAAAGTTTAAATATGAAAGAGAACATAAAAATTTGTTCGTTAGATTGTTCAATCTTATCTAATGCTGATTATCGAGCATATAATTGGTTCCTACTTATTTTTGTTGAAACACGTCTGTTCCCTAAACAACTATCTTTAATATGACAGGATTACGCTCCAAGAAGAGTATTAGCACAGACAGAACAACATCATACCCTTTTCCCCCTAGAAAAGAATAAATTGAGTGCATGGCTGTAGTAATTAAGATCAAGATGCTAAGTAATGCAATACTTAGCAATGGAGAATTTCAAAAGAGATAAATATAAGCTCCGACTTTTCGCATGCTCAATCTCAGTGAAAAAAAATCTGCAATGAAACCCATCTGGAAATCTATTGCATAAAACCTCTTTTAATGTACCTTCCTAGATTGAACCTTGCTATATTGTCAGAAACTTTTTCCGATTCTTTGACATAATGACACGTGACATTTTATCATTGGATTGCTATAGTCAATTATAATTCTGTCAAGGAATCTGACAACATTTTCTGGAAAATGGCTTAACTCTCCTATATTAAGCCTATGTTTGACTCGTGAATTTAAACTACTTACAAAAACTAAAGTAACTTTTTGTCCACATATTTCGAAGAATCCATAAGTAGTACCCAATTATTCAACACTTGATTTTAAAATTCAAAACCGTTTATAAACACCTTCCGATCGTACTTTTATTTGCCATAACAATCGTCCTTCTTTCAGACCTTGTTTTCCAAAATCTTAAGTTGTCTTTTCACCCCAGGCTTTCGGAGAAGGCTACTTACTCCATCAATAAAATGATCTATTATGATATGCTTGATCAATAGAAGAGAAAAAGGGGCTATTTATTTCCTTGAATGAAAAGAAAAAACATATTAGATATGTACTTACCGTGCAAAACAAAGGCCAAGCTTCCCATTTGCATATGATCATACAGAAGAAGTCTCTCATTCTGATGACAACAAAATGCTTTAAGAGGAAGCAAGTATTGATGAAGAAATTGAGATCCCAACTCTTTAACTTTTTCTATGAATTCCATCTCAGCTAAACAGCCAACAATTTTCAATCTCTTGACAACCACAGCATATTTTGGAACCTTGTAACTAGTTCCAAAAGTCCCCTTTCCCAATAACTCGGCCGATGATCCTAGCAACTCCTCTAGTCCATATTCTCCAGAGCCATCCTCTCTAAAGAACACCAATTTACTCTCTATAATATCTGTTGGGCTCCAAGCCATCGTATAAATTCTTCTTGGATCGACTCCTCGTCTCGTCGCCCTCCGGGTGATTCTACTCGATGATAAAAAAGCAGCAAGATCTTAGCAATCGCAATCGGCAATAGCTTCAATGAGATTTGAACCTATTATATGATGATCCAAAGGCGAACAGATATTCATTGACTTCTTCCTTTCTTTGTGTTTTCGTCAACTTAAGAAGTTCCTATGCAGACAAAATGATGCTGCATTTAGATATCATGCCAGGGTGGACGAAGACATTGACATATATTCTTGATTCTCACTATTTTAAATTTTTTATTTCATCACTGTTGTTTCTACCTTTGAACCATTCTTTCATGCTTATCAACTAAGGAACAACTAATTGAGAAGAATATTACCGCTTCAAATTGGGTGTTTATATTAATTGACACCATGTCTTTCTTTTTGCCGCATTAATTTTCAATTGAATTAAAAGATTTTTAATTTTATTTAGTTTCGCACTTAAATATGTTTCGAACTTTATTGTCACATTCTTATGCTCAACTTTTTATTAAAAGAGTGATTAATCACATCACTTTTTTTTTTTTTATAGATGCACCAAAATTTAATTATATTAACAGCCTGTTTGTCTACCATTATTGGTAAAAAAATGGAGTAAGGAATAGTATTTTTTGGAGAATGCGTTGTTGAAATTTAAAGTAACTTTATTGGTTTGTGTGTGGAATATTTTATTGAGTGAATATGTGGTTGAGATTGTTTAGTGTAGAAAACAATGTTTGTAAAAATGGTAGACAAACAGGGGCTGATTATCAGAAGGATATAAAATCTAATGGTTAATTCATATCTTAATTTTT